TAACGAGCTAAAGGCTTCATACTGAGGAACACCTTTGTCATCATTTTATATTTATCCTAATATTTATTCCTAATATACGTACTCAAACTGAGAATTTTTGATTTTTTTATACTAGTTTTTCTCCTTCATTATCGCCCTCGCCTCGAATAGTCTTGGACTAACTGCGAGGGCAAACTTCAAATGTAAATAAGGATGATTCATAAATAAAAACTGTTAAGATGTGTGTTTCCTAAGCTTATGATATCTAAACACGAAACAGTACACAAGAATGTTGACTCGCAATTCAAACTTCAGTTTACCGGTCAACTTTCCACTTTAATTACGACAACCTGCAGGTTTAACGACCGTTGTTGCTGTTTATGAAGTTCTCTTTGTCCAGAAATAAGTACAATTCTGGGTCACCTGTGTGAGAACTGGTTTCCGAACGGGAACAGCCTCGTAAAAATTCTCACCCAGAACTACAGTGCAGGATTGAAGCTCAGTTCAGTAAGAACACAAGGAGTATATACTTATTGTTCTGTTTTTGTTTACACTCGTATCCTTTGCTATCGTTCATTGTTTTGTTGTGCTTTTCTTTTTCCCTCAATGGTCTAGTTAATTACCGAAGTTCGTATATGTGAATTATCTCTATCTTTCCGTAGCTCCAAAGTTATAATAGCAGATGTATTTGATTCGTATAGTTAATCAGTGCGAAGATATTAGAGCAAACGCAGGAAAATCATGAAATAGAATAAAAGTAAACACTAACAAAAAGCGGCTATTTAGAGACAATTTGTCAGTATCAATGAACCAGAACGCAATAAAAATGAATTAAATAGTTCTCGAAACCGACAAATTGTCTCTAAATAGCCGCTATTTGTTAGTATTTAGTTTAATTTTATTTCATGGTTTTCCTGCGTTGCTTTATAAACTTTTCTTTAGTTTAAATCTTATGTCACTCTCTGGTTTATATCTTAACCCTGATGAATGGCGATGTCCAGCGTACAAGCACTTTAGCGCATAACCACCACCTTTTCGTGAAAGCAGTTCGGATGCACTTCGAAATGCTAAGACTGAATAAGGAAATTAAGACTGAGATGTACCAAACATTTTGTAGAATCTGGCCAGAGGCTTTGCGTTCTTTTCTAGAAAATCTCAAAGGGTCTCTTCTACAAGGCTCCATCGTCATCGCGACATATGGGCCATATTAAGGCTTCTAAACCCAACTTCCGATCCTGAAGCAAGCTACAGACTCTCTCAATTGTTTTACCTAAATTGCATTTTTTTAATTGAGGGAAAATTCAAAGAGATGTGACGAAAGTTGATAGTATATCATCATTTTGATTAATTGTATAATATGAATCAGAACAGCGAAAAGCGCTATGTTCCAACGAATCTAGTTGCTAGAGATTCTAAAATGGTTCCAAATATAAATCGAAAAGCACATCGGCATCAAAGACATAACAATTTCGCAGATACCTTGAAATTAAGAACAAAGATTTTCGATAGATCATTCATTTATTTTGCATAAATGTACTAGTTGCTTTCAACAGTGGTTTGGACCCAGCCTTTAAGTTCCTTCATCTTTGCATACACGCCATATGCATTAGGACGACCGCAACCTATTCCAAAGCTCACAACTCCAACTTGCTCCCAGATGCCAGATTTGGTCTGACAGGCCAGCGGTCCGCCACTGTCATTCGTGCATGCGTCGATGCCACCTTCGGGATAGCCAGCACAGAGCATGCGTGAGGTAATACCTTTGTTGGCCTTTTCACAGTCTTCTTGAGAAACCAGGGGAACCACGGCCTAGAAAACAAAATAAAGGAGAGAAAATGATTACAAACAGAATTGGATAGAAATTTTGGTAACAGTGAATGGACCCCCTCCCCCTCCCAACCCCCCCAAAGAAAAAAAAAATCACTCGTCAGACGAAATACAATAAATTATTTACCTGACGAAGTATATCGGGGATGCGACGTGCTCCTTCCGTAAGTTTTCCCCAACCAGTAACAGTACAGTGACTCCCTGTAGGAAAGCTACCTGTTTGAAGGCAAATAGGCCGAACATTTTCATTGTATTTGATATTGGTTTTCAGTTTCACTAATGCGATGTCGTAGTCGTATTTATGATCTTTCGGATTGTCGTAATATTTCTTATGTGGGATGATCTTGTCGATGTCCATTACTTGCTCGTCGCCTTGTACTTTTCTGAGGTTGTGCTCACCTGTTGATCATTGATAAACGATCGATGTGATTACTATGATATTAAATAAAACCCGATGCGTATGGAAACATTCAAAAAACCACAGAAGAACACAGATGGGGGTTATAATGAACATCCAGGCTTAAAGTTGGTAAAATAAGTATCGCCCCTTGTAAGAGAATCCGGAATCCAGAATCCAGTAAAAATACAGCTTTGGAATCCGGAATCCCTATCCTGGAATCCGGAATCCAACTATTTGGGATCCATAATCTGGATAGTTAGGAAGATTGCTTTTATCGGTGAAAATCTAGCTGTCTAGAGATGAGAACGTGCATCCAACTGATATGCTGTACTTTACTGTACTTCATATACGTAGTTTGTTTGTCAGCATGCGACAATTGGAGACAGTGCAAATTAGTGACGCGCTACCTTGCGTTGCCGGCGCCCTGCGCAGCTTACTGACACGCTGAATATAAAATTTTCAGGAAAAAAAAGACTCTGAAAATCACGCCATTTATTATCCGGAATCCAAAACACAAATTCTGTGGAATCCGGAATCCCAAGGCTTGGAATCCAGAATCCAATGTTTCGGAATCCGGAATCCAGCGCTTGGAATCCGGAATCCTCTAGTTCTCTGGATTCTCTTACATGGGGCGATAAGTACCGTGTAAATATCAAGAACACTGACCCAGACTGAAAAGTACGGTTCTTCATTCAAATTGCTCAATAAAAGGTATAACGTACGTACGCTCGACCAGTATTTGAGCAACAGAGTTTTTTTTTTCTTCGCCAGGCTGTGTAGTAGTGTGTAAGATACACAATAACCATGTTGTATTCATCTGTCATGCCGAATTCAACATCATTTACTTTGTTTGGAACGCGAAATGTAACTTGAGGCTGCTTATTGTGGGGATAGACGAGCTTGATTACCTTGCATCAACTTATATAGTTGCAGCCAAATCTACATTTTGTCTTGCTTGAAGACCTTGATCAGAAATGGCCGTAACAGCTTAGGTATTTATCCACAATTAATCTATGATTGAGTCGGTTTTCTTTGTTATTCATACGTCTTTATTTAGCATAAATACCACTTGAATGATCAACTGTGTTAAAGCCCGGGGAGGGATTTGATATTCAGGCCAGGGAAAAGCGGGGATGATGAATTGAATTGGATTGTTCATTACGTATTCAAGTGCTTTATCTAGATAAAGCACACTTTAAGAGCACTTTATCTAGATAAAGCACTTGAATACGTAATGAACAATCCAATAATTAATTCAATTCATCATCCTCACTTTTCCCTGGCCTGAATATCATATCACTACTCGRGCTTTTACTATAACTACAATTTACTCAAAATTCATTTTACAATTTCATTACATCAAATTATATCAAAAATTTCAACCTATACATTAAAGTCCTTTTTAACGAAAAATGAACAATTGTTGAAATGGACACACTTTCCAACTCTGTCTTTTGAACTGTTCATACCMTCACACGTAACCTCACTACTATCCTTCTGGAACTTACTGACTACCTGCCTTTCATCYTCTTCTAACGTGCATGCCCTTTTCAAAGACGGTTTACAATTAAATTGATCTAATGCTTTCGACATTTCTACTTTGGTTTCAACACTGGGTCGCTGATAGCTTTGCAAAGAACGAATATCTCTATGCCCGGTTCTTTCCATTATGTACTTATCTGGGATTCCTTTAGCCAGACCACGGGTTGCTGTTGTCGCTCTGAGGCTGTGATTYGTGTAATGCCCTTCTATTCCAGCATCTTTGCAGAGGTTTTTTACTGTCGCAGACAACKTATTGTAGCCCACAGGATWTGCGGTGAACCAAACTAAAAATGAAACAAAATTTTAAAAATGTCATTTAACTGARTAGTTCAGGTTTTTACAYATGCTCAAATTAAACAAAGCATTGAAATGTCATATACCTTGATCTGAATCGCTATATTTCCGGCRTGGACTCAAGTAAAACGCATCCTTTGCRATTGCTTCTTTGCTGCACTTCTCCACATACTTCTTATATAGATGAACCAAGCACCGTTCTCGATTCTCTTCATTTGCGTAATGTTCKATAMGTTTTTGCTTCACATTGCGGTGTTTTAACCCTCCCAAATTGTTCTTTTCTCCAAATGACACGTACACAAGCTTTTCTGGTTCCTTTTCATTTGCTGGCTCCAGTTTAAGTTGACTGAACTTTAAATTACGGTGTTCTTTTCCGCTTCTTAGTGCAAAGTTTCTTCCTATTAGGAATACCATAGTTTTGAGCAACACGCTTGGTGACTGGTCTCCAAGTAGATTTAATTTCCACAGTTGATCTTCCTGATCCTCTGTAAAGGATTGCGCTTGCTTCACGTTAGCACCGAGACCCAATCGTGTTAGGCGTTTCATTTCTGAATCTAGGCAATCCTGAAAATGTTTGAAGTTTGGGTCTTCAAAAATATTTAGGGCTGGCCAGCCATTATTTCGCAGATATCGCATTAGTCCACAACATAAATTATATAGTGAAGCTGGGGGATATAGCTCTCCTTTTTCACCTTTCTTGCGAACTTCCACAACAAACTTCGCCAACCAGTAGTTCAGTTCGGCAGCAGTAGTTTTCAGGATATCTGAGTTTACTAGTTTCTCATTGCTTGCTACTTCTTTCGCTTTCGTGTTCCTTTCTTCAGCCCAGTACGTCCACACACCAACTGCCCATGCTGTATTAATTTTGGTGTTCTCAGGAATTCGACTATCTTTTCTCTTCTCCAATTCCTCATCACTTACAAGGGATATAATACGGCTAGAGCTTGAGGTTGACTTTTTGGTCTCCGATATTTCGCACGGCTCAGTTATCGTAGTTGTTGTGCAATCATTTGTAGCCTTATTTTGGTCACCGCTCTCTAAATTCTCACTTTCGAAAATGCTCTGAAGCAAGTCAAAATCGGGCATATAACTTTGCTGCGAAAATGTTTGCTGTGTCAAACCCACCAAGCTAAAACAATCATCTTCGTCGCTGTACAAGTCCATCATTCCTCGACTATAACTCGAGAACTGACTAACTTTTCTCTTACGAAACATTGCCGTTCAAATTAGAATAAACAAGCATGAAAAGTCAATGAAACATTCCTTGCTTTGAAATTTGTTATTTTTTCCTTTAATTGCGTTTCTTTTCTATTNATGGTTTCAGACACGCCTTCCGTTTTTCGCAATCAATTTACAAAAATTATCATATACATATAACACCCATTACTTGTTCAACTGCCTTAGTGTTTGAAAACCTCCTCAATCATAGATTAAGACAGTTAAATACCTCGAATGTCGGCAATAAGCCAATAAAGCCCTCGGGCCTACGGCCCTCGGGCTTTATATGGCTTATTGCCTCCATTCTCGGTATTTAACTCTTACTAAAACACGAACTACGAGTTTTTTAAATGACTTCTAAAACTCATGAATTATTCATTAGACATTCTTCCAATGAGCATTCAACTATGGGTCACATGACAGGATCTATAACTCAAGTTATAAACACTGATTAATTAAACATGAGTTTTATAACTAACAATTTACAGACACTCGATGTATGCCCAACACTAGAAAAGTTCTCAGTTTTAGACTCTCATCATAGAACTTCACGGTCTCGAGTTAAAATTACATATTTGCAGAGTCACACTACGCTAAAACATAGTGGCGCTTGGATGTGGGAAACCAAGTTGATTACTGCTCATGCTCAGATGGAGATATCTTCATCAATTATTAATTTTTGATATTTTTTTATTTATTTCATGTTTATTGTAGTTTCTTAGGTTTGGGTTTTAGAAATACATATAAAGAACTTACCAGCAGTGACTTTGTATTTCGCACGATTGGCATTTTTTCTGAAACAATGGGCAGCAGTGACTATCCAATTAGGCGCGATAATGCTGCCACCACAAAAATGAGAAACTACACGTGTGGTTCTTTTAATCGCGATCGATACCTGCCAAGGATGTGAGCCTTTTTTAGCAATTTTCCCACCTACAATTCTCCCGTTTCCTTTGCCTTTTGTCCCACACTCGATTTCCTCTGTTGATCAATCAATAGATATTCCGAGTAAGAAGCAGGCAAGCAAACGGCAATTGAATGCATGAAGGTGCTAATTTTGCATTGTATAATCCATCCATCTCATTGGTTAAAACATTAAAATTTGACATAATTTCAAAAGTAAGCACATTTTGAAATATTTTATTCAATATCTCATTCCGACTTCATAAAAGCTTTCCTTAGCTTTAATATTAATAGTAATTCTATGTGGAGAAAATAGCAAATTAGAAGCATTTTTTGGCTATTGTTTTGAGTGCTTATGATTGGACAAGATCTTTTAATACAAATGTTTAATACAATGTTTCAAAACAGAGTTTATTCACATTTTATTTTAAAAATCTGTTACCCATCAGCGTGAAAACCAAGACATTCGTATGTGGGGAAGTTGCAATTGCCGTAGAACAATAGAAAGTTGCCTGCTTTTTGCGCGCATTGTTACTTAATGGAGAGGTTTAAGGTGGCTTTTTTGCCGCGAAACCGCCAAACAGAAAAAGACAAGAATTCACGTGGTTTGGAGCTTGACACCAATTTTGCCGTTCGCGGTCCATGTTTAAACGGGGAAAGATTCCTCTCAGAGGGATTTTTTAATGATCTTGCTCACTATTAAACATAAATAACGTATAAATTCGACTTACCTTCGGTGGCGAAGCACAAAGCCCCTAGAAGCATCAAAGATACCACAAACAACTTCATTTTGTGAAATTTCGATTTGTAGTCAGTTGATCTGAATAAAAATGTTTTGATTCAAACGTTTAAGTGTTTAATAGTATTAAAACTATTAGGGTGTAGTACTAGGCTGCTAAAAGGCAAAATCAAAACCGTAGTTGCCTAATTAGTTTGTCGCATGTCATAAGTTAAAATATTGGGAGCTAACAGGAGGTAATAGTACATTTCCTATTTTACAGACGGATGAAAATGACTCTAGAGTGAACGCNTCAAGCTACTTCACGTGGTACAAATTACAATCAGGGATTGGCTGAATACCTCATGAATAATTAATGAGTTTTTGAAATAATAATAGCTTATATTTCTATTTTTCAAAGATATAGATTTTTTTTTATACTCCTGAAACGGTGTGTTGTAGAAATGTTCAGAAGGGTTTTTACTTTAGGATCAACAGAATTGGTTCCTCGACCTTAAAATAGGCTTTGGGATTCATCTCAATCTAGGAAAATGATATACAGTATAAGGAAGATGAAAATGGCGTTTATCCTTTCATGCCCGCGATAGTGTTGATTTTGGGTTGTTTTTGAGGCAAATATTTCAAAATATCAAATCTACACCATACAAGGAGTTGTCAATCAAACTATTGTAGATTCATATTCCTCTGAGTTTGTTTACTTCAGTGACGCCCGGCAAATTTGAGTCGACTCGCTAAATTAGCCAGGATTGGCTCTCAAATTCGCCCCAAAACCGTTTTAAGTGATTTTTCGAGTCATTTGCTGCGACAGAAGCCCCTATGACTGCATTATAAAGCTCGACTAGGCGGCAGAGACGCTCTTCTGGAAGAAATCAGAAGCGGGAAGCGATTTTTCGAAGACAATGTCGCCAATACGAAGCTAGCTTTGAATTGCCGACTCTAGAGAAAAGTCACTGACGTCCCTAGTCGTTCTGTGGCAGACTTCAGAACCCACTAAGGTAAAATTGGCAAGTTTTAACATCTAAAAAATGCAATCGGTGCAATATTTTGCCTATAGGTGCGAGCGACTTGGCACTTGCAAAAAAATTATGAAATCAGGACCGTTGGTTGCTCTCTGACGAGTTTGAACCACGTTTCCCATGATGCTATTCGGACTGCGCAACTGAGAAATCTGGGTTTGCTGTGCTTTGTCTCGAAAAGGGGGCTGTGGCTAGATCTGTAGAGACTTCTACAAAACAAAAACTCGAAAATGCTCAAGATGTAGGGTGGCCAACTTCAAAAAACGTGGAATTTCGATTTGTAAAAGACGATTTGGACTCTAAAACTTAACACGAAGAGACGTGATTCTCACCCTTATCCGGTGCACCACAAAGTCGAAATTTAGGCATTCCTTTTTTAAAGGGTCCTTTTTGTCCAGATATTGTGCTAGATGTTAGATGTTTTCAACTGTAAGATAGAGATTCATTACTATCTGTTGTCATGTGTGTCACGACAAGATCTCGGAAACTTGCAATTTCAGAAACATCGATCTTGGGTGACCGATAATCCCTAAAGCGGGCGTCAAAGGGTTAATGTAGCGTACGTCAGACTGATATCCGGGACAGGCTGGACACAGTGACAACAATCCCAAAACGCAAGTAATTAAGTGGATGTATCTTTAAAACATGAACATATAAATTTAGTTATTTACCTTTGTGAAAAGCACACGACGATCGACATCAGCTGAACCCGACTGAATATAATTCTTGGTTCGATGCCTTATACTACATCCAAAGCAGATCAGATGACAGCAGGTCATAACATAATCATTGTTTGCAAGTTGCTAAATTAAATGACTTAAAAACACGGATCATTGAGTAAAAAGCCATTAGTCATTATACAAATTCAGATTGAAGTTTTTTAGGGCAATTTATATTGATTTTTTGTACAAAAATATAAATTCAACACCGCAAAGAAGTGGGTGAAACAACTTTCTGACGTTTCGGATGTTAATTCTCCGACGAAGGATTAACTTTCGAAACGTAAATAACTTGCTTCACCTACTTTTTTACGGTGTTAAAATTTTTGTGAAACGAAAGGAATGGAAAATAGAAATAAGTTTATTGCTTTTTTCTTGAGGTTTCTATTGTTTTTTTTCTTCTTTTAATCATCGTCTAATTTCCAGTTCTTCCAACCTTCGCATCAATAAGCCAATCAATTAGCTAAACAAACAACATAAACTCGGTTCCTCCCATCCTCCCATCCATTAGTTAAACAAACATATACGAACTCGTCATTCTTCTCTATACATGCATCAGGAGTTTCGGATAACAATGCGTTCGTTATTTTGAAAAAATGGGTCTTCAATAACTAAATTGTAAATCCTAGATTAAAAGCTTCTAAGATAATGCCAAGTTGATATAATAGAGTCATTTTCATCCGTCTGTTAAACAATTACTACTAGTCAGTGTTTAATAGTATTAAAACTATTAGGGTGTAGTACTAGGCTGCTAAAAGGCAAAATCAAAACCGTAGTTGCCTAATTAGTTTGTCGCATGTCATAAGTTAAAATATTGGGAGCTAACAGGAGGTAATAGTACATTTCCTATTTTACAGACGGATGAAAATGACTCTAGAGTGAACGCACTTGTACCGTGAAATATAATCAAAGAAGTTTATACTCCCAACTAATTGCGAGTGAAATTTGTCTCGCTCTCTCAGAATCAAAAATTTCCGTATAGTTTTGACTTTTACATATGTAATAGTTGCATGATTAACCTTTCTAATGGTGTATTCGCGACTTCAATCTGATGGCGTGATGGCCAAAACCAGCCAATATTCAAACAGTAATCTCAAAATTGTTTGCTTTTCCGTGCGCGCAAAAAAAAAAAAAATAAAATAAAAAAAAATAAAAAAAAAAATAAATAAAAAAATTAAAAAAATTAAAAAAAATAAATAAAAGCCTTAATAAACAGATTATTGGCATTCTATGTTTGAAAAACTACACAAATCCGTCGACTGAGGCCGTCGCTATGAAGCCGATTCGAAAGCGCACTTAAAAAACAGTGTAAATAAAACATTCAAGAATAAAATTTTTCAAAATGATGACAGCTATGCTATTGTATTCTCCAAAGAGGTTGGTCCTATGACTTAAACATGGCTATCTCAGCAACTTAAAAGGTATTTGGTTTCAATATAGCGAAGTCAAATCAAGAGATGTCCAAAAGTTTGCATCGAAATCTAAAGTTGTTTCCCGGTTAATGAATTCATATTCGACTGTCAGTTCTGCAGATCGGACAAGTTTCGGTTTTTGTTCATATTATTAGAGAAGTTCTCTCTATCTTTTACACATATTGTTAGATTTGAGCGAACACAAATTTCTTGAGACCCGGTCACTGGATTTTGCATTATTTGTTAACTAATTGAATAGGTAAGAATGATGAGTTCGTATTTGTTTGTTTAGCTAATGGATGGGAGAATGGGAGGTACTGAGTTTATATTGTTTGTTTAACTAATTGATTAGCTAATTGATGCGAAATGAGGAAGAACTGGACATTAGACGACGATAAAATTACAAGAGAAGACCATATTAAAATCTTGAAAGTTTATGCGAAAAAAATTGCTCTATAATTTGCTAAAGCAAACTGAACATTTTTCTCCTTTGAATGCCTATACATTATAATCATACCTGGTTAAATCATCTTTCAAATAAAAACAACAAAAGCATAGATTTAAAGTATGAAATCGATCTCCTTTCAAAAGATCTACTTATATATCTTTGTCCATCCTCTCTGAACTGTAATTTCTCCTTGTATTTGAAAATAGATGTCTGTTTCTCTGTCTGTCAAAAAAAAAATCCTACAAGGCAAAATTTGAAAAATCTTCGCTAAAGCTTTTGTAAATTTATTTAAAAATAAGCGGAAGCGCTCGCCTAAATGGATCGCCACTAACGAATACGATTTTTGGAGATAAATAGGTTAAAACATTTTAATGTGGACTTAAACGAACGGAAGTAAAGTTTTTCTCAAGAAATGTATGCCGGCTGACAGCTGACGGCATTATTCCTGAGTATTTTCAATTTATTTTGGAGCCAGTTTAGGAGTTCGAAACTGCCTTATTTTACATCCCATATCAAATATAATGCCTCCAATCCATAAAAATACGATAAATACGGAAAAACTTGAATATTAATAATAAAAGAAATATATATATATATAGTAATAAGTCGAACGAATTCAACGTGTGAATTCAGTCGACAAGATAATTCATTCGCATTCATATCGCGCCATGTTCAAATTTCTGGGAATGATTAGTAGACATATATTTTCGAAATTTCATTCCTTTATTTTGCATGAATGTACTAGTTGTTTTTAACAGTTGTTTCGACCCAGTCTTTAAGTTCCTCCATCTTTGCATACACGCCAAATTTACCAGGGCGAGCACAACCTGTTCCAAAGCTCACAACTCCAACTTGCTCCCAGATGCCAGATTTGTTCTTACAGACCAGCGGTCCGCCACTGTCATTCGTGCACGAGTCGATACCTCCTTTAGTATAGCCAGCACAGAGCATGCGTGAGGTAATACCGCTGTACGCCTTCTCACAGTCTTTTTGAGAAACCAGGGGAACTATGGCCTAGAAAACAACGAATTACTTACTTTATTATTCACGAAAAAGTCTAGGGATCTAAAGGCAACATTGACAGAGCTAAAAAAATAAAATGCAAAGAACTGAAAATAATTCACCTATCACTTCTTCGCATAGATTTATCACCAAACAATAAGCAGTTTTCCCGATTCGAATTGAAACTGTCCGAGCAACAAACACAAAATCGAATACTTTTACAAAATTCATTAGATTTTCCTTATGTAACACATACTATATAAGACAAGACAAGTTCCTGCATATCGCAGCAATGGGTATCTCAATCAAAGTAATATATATTTTTTTAATTTAAGACCGGGGCATAAGTTTATTTGTTTTGTAACAAGTCCACCCTTTTAGATAAAGCCTTTATTGTTATCATCTTTGTGTTATAGAAGATCCTAAATAACTTACTTGACGAAGTCTAGAGGGGGTGCGACGTCCTCCTTCCTTAAGTTTTCCCCAACCAGTCACAGTACAGTTAGTCCCTGTAGGAAAACTTTGTGATTGAAGGCAAATAGGTCGAACATTGTCATCGTATTTAATATTGGTTTTCAGTTTCAGAAGCGCGATGTCGTAGTCGACTGTGTTTGTGTTGAAGTCAGGATGCTTGATGATCTTGTCGATGTCCATTTCTTGTTCATCACCTTCATCTTTTCTGAGATTGTGCTCACCTGTTGATTGAGATATGATGTGTATATTATAATTCAATAAGATCTTACCAATCAATGGGTAATCTTGAAAACTTGACAGTAAAAAAAAATAGTAAATCAAGAATAATATACAAAATAAAAACCATGTTAATAACAAGACCACACAGCATAAAAAATCGTTTCTTAAATAAAGCTATTAGATCAACATATAATATGTTCCAGGTCTGTATTGGATTTGTCCTTTTGGGTGTTAGTGTTTCACGATTTTTACTATTTGCACTATTTTGGTGATATTGTTTGATTCAAAGAACTTACCGGCAGTGACTTTATAGTCCGCAGTTTTGGGATTGGTTCTGAAACAATGAGCAGCAGTGATGATCCAATTAGGTTTGAAGATGCTGCCGCCACAAAAATGGGAAACTCCTTGACGTCCGCTGCTTTTAATCGTTATCTGCCAAGGATGTGAGCCTTTCTTAGCAATTTTCCCACCTACAATTCTCTCGTTTCCTTTGCCTTTTGTCCCACACTCGATTTCCTCTGTTGTTGATCGAAACATTAATCAATCAATCAATCTATCAATCGCTGTTCAAGTTGAATGGGGATGTTAATACTAGGGGTAACGTTTTTGCTTGATTACCGCAAAACCGTGAAACCGAAAGAATCAAATCACGTGGTTTGGAGCTTGAAATCAGTTTTCCCGTTCGCGGGAAAATGGTTCTCTTTAGCGTAAAGCGTTTTATGATCTTTTGAAACATAAATAACTAATGTAAAATTCAACTTACCTTCCGCGGCGACCCACAAAGCCCCCAGAAGCATCAAAGATACCACGAACAACTTCATTTCGTGAATTTGATGTGCTTGAGAATGTAGTCGGTTGATCTAGCGAAAAATGCTTTGATTGAATCTTTGAATTAGGTACGGTCCAATCTAAATGTTAGCTCAAATTATGATAGTTGTTTTGGACGGCATCTTTCTTTTTCTTTTTTGGGGGTGTCGCAGAAGTGTTTATACTTTACTAGGACCTAAAGAATTGTTTCCTCGACCTTAAGAGAGGCTTTGAGATATATTCAGCTATATTTTTTAGACTGAAGCCTCCTGATTAAACCTTGAAATAAAGTCTAATAGTAAGACACTAAAGAACAAGGGAATAAGATCGTAACAAGGAAAACATCATGTAACATTATTTGATTCTCTCTGAAGTCCGTGAACTCTAAGATATGTAAATTTGTAAATCTATTTCCCAACAACGCAGTGATCGACTTACCACAGTGAAGCTCCACACGAAAGATCTCCTGAATCTGACTGAATAAAGATTTTGTGTCGAACTGATATTAAACTGCATGTGTCACATCAATCATTAGGGTGTTTCTGGCACGTTGTCTTTTGTTAAACACATTTTCTTTAATATCATAGTATGGTTCATTACATAAAATGATTTTTCACTGGTGGATGATCACATAGAGAGTTTCGAAGTGCTTTTGACTGAAACTTCTCTGAAAGAATATTATTGTACTGTACATTTTACCAGTTTATTTTTTTTCTGAGTTCTCGACGTTTTTCCAATCACTCAACGACCTCAACATAATCCCAGTTCACAGTCAAGTTAAAATAATAAAAACAAAATCATGACTAAGTGAATTATTTATTGTCATTTTGATTGACAAACATTTAATTAAATTCTTGGTTTAAAGTGTTTTGTTTATGGATTTTACACACACACATAAAAGAAGAAGAAGAGAAAAGACATATAGAAAAGAAATAACGCAAAATGAAAATTCTGAATTAATGGCCAAAGATCCAGATTTTGTTAATTTATTTAATGGATAACGCTTGTCATTCTTTCGATTACATTCCTCACATTTATCAGTTTTAATCTTACAGAAAACAAAACGGGTGAAATCACCCGTTTTACCAGTACTCAATAGTCAATTGACTGAAGATCTCTAATCAGTTCAATTGCAGCAATTTTACAGTGATTGATTTACAGCCCATTTTCCATATTCTGGTTGAATGGACACAAACAAAAGAACCGAAGACTAAGTTCCAGGGAAACGAAAAGATTATCCATTTTTCCTCTGATCCTCGTCGTCAATTTTTTGGCTGTGGTCATTCAACTATCATTCGGAAAGTAACGGTTATTAGCCGTTGTGTCTGCAGTTCACGACGAGAACAACAACATTTTACAACATTTTAAAAATGTCCGAGAACAGGTCAATATGTTGTTTTAATTATTTCAACATTCACAATTAATAAGATTCACGGTGCAAAGAAGATATTTTTTTGCTTTGGTGGACTGAAGCAGAGATGTCACCGTTGGTGAAAGTAACCATTCAAAAACATCATTATTTGAAAGACAGATTTCGCAAATCCTAATACTAATAAAACGTGGTTTTCGTTAATATATCTGTTTTTCGATTTAGTTGAATAAATAAGCAAACTAAAGAATACAAAATATTGCAGATAGTGTGCTCGTGGGTTAGGAGATGGATGTCAAAACGAAACTGCTGGATAAGTAAGCTTTAGGGCATGCTAGAGACAGTCGCAAAAGACAGGTAAGGGGCTGTTCATTATTATCGGCCAGGGCAGTCCGGTAATATCTTTCATTTAACTATTCTTGACTTTCACTGATCACGTGATAGTCTAAAAAAGCTATTTAGAGTCAAAATTAGCAAACTTTTATTAAAGTTCTCGAGAGAACATCTTAATTTAAGGATCATGACGAAATTCAAAGACGAAATAATGAATTTTAACAGAAATACGAGCGATCGAAAATTGGTAAGAATGTATTATATGGGATTAGCACGGCTCAATGCGTTTTGGACTGATCAAGACATCCCTACAAAAAGCTTTGTTTTAAGATTCAAATTATTTTTTTAAGTTCAAAGACCAAAAACGTATATAACTCCCACAACAGTTATGCAAAGTTTGAATCAAAACTGTGATTTCCTAGCAAAAATATAAGCGTTTGAATACGGTCTTACTTTACAAAGAAATGTATGGGGCCGCCATGATKGTGTCCCSGTCRGGGACTTCAAAATGGCGGACCGTAACTCCGAGTATCGAATTGAGCTCAAAACTGTTGATTTTGCTTTAAATTTACAACAATATCATTGTAAACATTTAAATTGATGCTGAAACTATAATTGTTTTAAGATTCATAGGCTTTTCGAGTATTTTTGTCTTGTATTAAGTCGCGTGGTATGCTCTTCAAGATACTTCAGTACCACAATGTTGTGTGTCTGTGATTTTAGATTTTTTTTCAACTGATGACGTCATATACAAGTCAAGAATATCTTGAGCTATCACCGAATATGCGTTGAAACTAGAGAAAATTACCGCCATGAATGCCGCCATCTTGGCAGGCTCATATATCAGCGGCCACTATAATGGTGACGTAATTGCGCGGCAAAGAGCGAGAAATTAAGTTCAAAACGGTTTGTTTTGCAATTTTCGTAGTTTAGATCTAGGCACCGCTGATATACGAGCCTGCCAAGATGGAGGCACTCATGTTATTTTCTCTATTTCAAACACATATTTCTCTCTTGTCGTTGAAGATGCGCCAAGAGATCTTGGTATTGAGAAGGAACTTGGATTAATCAAATAGCTATAGGTTTTTTTAAAACCTATAAAAGGTAAACCTATTAAAAGGTAAAGTGGAGTTTTCCTTTACAGCGGACCTCTAGCTTTGTTTTGAAGTTTGTCTGGATTTTGTTCTTTCTTTCAATCTGAAGGCGGAGATTTTCGAAAAGTCTTTCAATCATTGGCTGATTAGTATCAAGCCCCGCCCCCAAGTCGCAGAGAAACTTAAATCCCAACTTTTTCCTTTGAACATTGAAGTCGCGTTACAACGGTTTCTGCTGTAAAACCTGCGACGATATTTTGTCCTCTTCGTCATAAACCAATTTGCAATCTTCGCTTTTTGCTGATGATGAGGCTGTGTCTTTTGTTCGCATCGTCAGCAGATTAATTTAAAGAATTTATTTTAGAATACCAAAAGACGAATTGCAATCCATGAAAAATCACATGTAAAATCTGAAAAAGAACGCTAATGAACCGAATATAAGTGGTGCCCTTATCGGGGTAAAGTGCACAAAATCCCTTTGATTAACAACACAAATTTTCAAACGCTCATTCATTTATTTGGAGAAAATGTACTAGTTATTTTCAACATTTGTTTCGACCCACTCCGTGAGTTTGTCCATATTTGCATACACGCCATATTTACGAGGGCGAGCGCAACCGAGTCCCCAGCTCACAACTCCAACTAGCTCAAAGGCACCAGACCTATTCTTACAGACCAGCGGTCCACCACTATCAAACGTGCATGCGTCGATACCTCCTTGTGGATAGCCAGCACAGAGCATGCGTTCGGTGGCACCGCGGTAGGCCCTCCGACAGTCTCTTTGAGAAACAAGGGGAACTATGGCCTGGAAAACAATGATTTCATTATTTAAAATATTTCATGTATACCGTCGAACACTTTATTCTTTTAAGGGACTATGCAATATTTATCAGGAATGAGGGGGCAAAATCTAATTGTATGTGCTTAAAGAAGGCGGGCAACGTCGAAAATTAACTAGTTCCAGCATTGGGCACTGTTCGTAGGGGTACTAGCTGTATATTAGTATGAGGTCTCATTGACTAGTAAACTTTATACGAACAATCCGCCAAGTCGACCTCAATGCTGGTGAGATGTACCCTGTCCACACCACCGGGAACTCTGTGCGCTACTCTTAGTCGAATAGTGGTGTGGGTTCTTTAACGTCCCTCCACTGCTAATGAGAAGTGTAGAGAGATGGGACCTCCTAAGGCATTCCTTAAATATTTATAGGTGCTTCAAGCTATTCGATTCGCACTGGAAAAAATCGTTGACGTTTAGATTGTTGGAATTGTATTAGCTCATACCTGACGAAGTCTCGAGGGGATCCGCCCTGAGCTTTCATTGAGATATCCCCATCCAGTAACAGTACAATTCGTCCCTGAGGGAAAACTTTGATTTTTAAGGCAAACGGGTCGAATTTTGTCATCGTAAGTGATATTGCCTTTCAGCTTCAGCAGTGCAACATCGTAGTCATATCTATGACCACTTGATTCGTTGTAATCTGCATGTCTGATGATCTTCTCGAGTTCAAATTCTTTCTCGTCGCTTTCATTTCTTCTGAGGTTGTGCTCGCCTGATGATTATTGAGATATGTTACTTATTAACAAACTATTCAGTGAGAGCCATATTGTTTATGCAATCTTAAAAAGATGGCGTTTTCCGGATAATTTCATAAGGGAATATAAATCTTTCTTTTTACAAGCTTCAGTCTTTTTAGATGGTAGGTCTATTCAAGATAGACGGCATGATGATACCCTTATCGTCACTGAAATCAATCCTAGCATTTCGCTTTTTTAACCCAGTGAGGTCTTTCAATACCAGAGTTAGAGAAAAAATAATTTTTCAAAAAAAAAAAAATCAGTGGGTGGTCAGAAAATCAGTTTTTACCGAGACAGCCTCTAAATGCCTTTCACTATTTGTAATGCACTCTATTTGTTTGCACTATATTAATTCGCAGAGCTTACCGGCAGTGACTATGTAATCCGCAGCCCTGGGATTGGCTTGAATACAATGAGCAGCAGTGACTATCCAGTTAGGTTTGATGATACTGCCACCGCAGAAATGAAAGCCCCTTTTGCGTTTTATTGTTATTTGCCACGGCCATGAGTTCTTTCTAGCTATTTGGCCACCAACGATTCTTTGGTTTCCTACGCCTTTTGTTCCACACTGGATTTCCTCTGATGTCGATCAAATAATAATATCAGTAATAATCAATACTATTTTAACCAAGCAATCAAACAACCGATTGACCGAACAACCCACCAACCGACCGACCGACTTCCGTCTCTCCATCCTACTAACCAACCAATTCAGTAATCAAAATTAATCAAGCACAAAATTCTTGGTCGCTTTTATGAGTGACGCTTTTTTGTCAACTAACCTTGGGCGACGCACAAAGCCGCTAGAAGCATCAAAGATACTACAAACAACTTCATCACTTGAAATGTGTAGTCGATTGATCTGATAAAAATGTTTAAATTAAAGCTTCAGTTAAGCAACAGTTCAAAAATATAAAAATGCAAACAGGTTTAGGGCGGATGATCCGCCCATTACTAATTTCGGCAGGGTGTAAGAGAAAACGATTTCAAAACGATCAAAATTCTCGTATACACTTGAAGGCGAAAATACTACTTGCATTCGAAACTGATTAAAAGGTGGCTCGACTTGGTAATGGCTTTGACGCACCGTCAATGATGGATCGTGAAATGCGTCTTGGCAATAGCGATACTCAATGTGACGTCCTTTGTTAATTCCTTTGTTATTCATGTGCCAACCAGAAGACAATTGGCTGTTAGAACAAAGCGACTTGTGAAAAGCCATTCTGATCATGGTTAGCACATGAACATAAGAATGAATTTGTTGGTAAACATTGAGAATCGCTAGTATCAATCTCCAAGAAATTTTCTAGATAAAGATAAAAGATAAAGATGAAAGTTTCTTTCGCATTAAAATCAGCATAATCAGATTCTTAGTAATTTTTTGATAAACGCTTTTCGATTATTTTCAAAATTTTATTTTTGCGCGTAAAAAAGTTATGACCCAGATTCATCGTAAATTTCAAGTTTCCTTGAGTTTTAAAATGATTTTATGAAAGCGTTTACAACAGGCACAAAAACAATGCAGGGTGTACTAAGGCTTTTAATATCTATTTCACAGGTTGTTTGACTTCATCATAATAAAATGTTAAATTTACAATATAAGGCGAAAAGATCGCGTAGTGATTGACCCTTACTTACCTTGCAGTTGTAGTACACGAAGAGTTCTGCTGAGGTGAATGAACATGGATTTCGTGTCGAAGATTTATATCAAGTCCAAAAACAGGTAGTGAAATAAATCACTATGGCCGCATGCTGTCATTTATCCAGTTTAATGGTTCATTGGTTAGGTAAAATGATTGTGCTCTGATGTGTGGAACACAGATATCTTCTCGTGACTTTTATTTTAAAATTTGAATTATAAAAAAAGGGTATCGAAAATATGAATTGATAAGAGAACATTTTTGGTGTAACTTAAATCTCATTCGCAGAATAGAAGTTTTATGTTAATCGAACAAGAAGATTTTGCTAGGATTCTCTTTTGGCTATAGAACCAAACCAAACCAAAACCATACCAAACCACGAACAATTCAATGTGTTGAAGAAATGCAAAAACAAGTTCAACTGCCTGATATTTGAAATGTTGTACATTAGAAAGCTTAAACCATCACTAAACGTACAAAGTGACTCTATAAACGCCAAACTTTTTACTTAATTTTATCTTTATATTCCGTATTATTGTTTACTTGTATTTTCTTACTTTATATTGTTACACATTCTTTTTATTATATTTCATTGTACATATTTTCCTTTATATTTTTAATTGTAAATTAGCTCCTATTGTTTTATTCCTATATATGAGCATCTTGTAATTTCCATTCCCCTTTTACTTGAAAATGACGTTATGTTAACGTCGAAACGTCGTTCATTAAAATGTTTTTTCTAAAAAACAGTTTTTTATCGCTCAATTTTATCATCAAGCTATAGAACTCCTCATTTTTTTTTCTTTTGTTCTTGAATTGTTTTCAGTCTTTTGTCGGTAAGTCAACCGTTGAAGGAACTCAATGAACTGAATCTAGTTGACTAACTGTATCTAATTGTTGCGTGTCAATCAAACAATTCCTCCCTCCTTCCCCAAACTTAAAAAAAAATCCAATGATTGATGAATCCATCTTTTGTTTGTGTCCACTTCGACAAGATAAGTTGGAATAGTGATAATGTAGCATTTTTGGTATAACTTTGGGGGGGGGGGGSGTAAAAACAGAGGGGGGTGCATTACATAAAATTGATGGCAAGATAGGGGGGCCTCAAAGTGAAATTACCTAATTAACAGAGGGGGGCCTTAAGTTTCATTCAAAATTTTCATAATTTTCGATGTCTCTCAAAATGCTGGAAATCGCATTTCCAAGAGTTATTTCCTTCAAATTCTGAAAATTTTTTCCAAAATTTTCTGKGGGAGGACCAGACTCCCTTAATACTCCCGCCTTTGGCGTTCGTAAGACCCCCAGATCCAAAATATATGTCGCGGTCCCTGACTTGTGCATAAAAAGTTCACACTACGCGCCTGACCAATGGAAATCTAAATTCAAAGACTCGTTGATGTGTAATTGAAATTGACCAATATATGAATTGTTTTTCAACTATTGATTTTTTCAATTTTGTCACATAAATTGAGGATGTAGTTTTCACATAAATTAAAGATGTAGAAGCTGAAAAACATATTGATGATTTATTAGACATAACAAGCACAAGTAATATCAAAGTCGTTTTTGACCATAAAATCGTTACATAAGCCTTTTTTGGACCTGGAAAACCTTTGCCAGGAACAAGATTATTTGAAAGAAGCAAGGGCACCACATTTCCTTGTCAGCTCCTCCTTAAAGTTTTTGTCTTTACACTTAGATCCAGATGAGTAAGCCGCCTTGTAATTATTGCACAGTCCCTAAACAGACAAGCACAAAACATCAGACAATGAAAATAGATAAAATAAATCCCGGGGGGGTGGGGGAGGGGGGTGTACTCCCATATATTTACTATACGGGGACGTGACGCTGCTCAGGGTATGGTTTTTGACCTTGCTGTCTTAAACAGGGTATAAATTTCACCCGAAACTGTCTTAAACAGCCTTTACAATTTAGGTAAAATAACATTATAATTTGTTTTTGTGTGTCTTGGACAGGGTAGAGTGCAAACATTAAATTGTGTGCAATACTTTCCACTATTTACTACAAAATATAGTGTTAATTAAACAATACAATAGAATTAGCATAATTTAGCAGTATTTTAGTGGTATTTATGTTGCACAGTTCAAAATCAAAATAAATAAATTATAAATTATGAATTATTTTAAGGATATTTCAATTTGTTTTCATTATTTCACCGATTAGTATGTTTATACTAAAACAATTAGACCTCTCGGCCTCGTGGACTACGAGCTAATAGTCCATTCGGCCTCGCAACTCGGCCTCATGGGCTATTAGCTCGTAGTCCACTCGACCTCGAGGTCTAATTGTTAAATGAAGGAAAACCGCCAACCGATGTCATCTCGGCTCAAATAATGGTTGACAGGAAAAACCCGAATTTCAAAGCTCGATTTCTCCTGCTTTTCAATCCTGTATCGATAAAAAATCTCCACAAATACTTATTTTGATCACCATATTATTCGTTTTCAAGTTACGTCACAATGGCCATCTTGGAGGAACTTCAACAAAGGATTTCTTATTTCTCATTTGTATCTTTTGTTCATCCCTCCAACATGTCTGCTCATGGGAATGGTTGAAAACGATCAATAAAAAGGTATATAGTAATATCTATAAGTATAAACAACACACATCTTCGAATGTTCATTTATTTATTTGGAGCAAGTGTACTAGTTATTTTTAACCTTGGTATCAACCCACTCTGTGGGCTTATCCATATTTGCATACTCGCCATATTTATGATTCATGGCGCAACCAGCTCCCCAGCTCACAACTCCAACTAGCTCAAAGGCACCAGACTTGTTTTTACAGGTCAGCGGTCCACCACTATCAAACGTGCATGCGTCGATATCACGTGTCGACAACTCCTACATCCTCCCCTTTAAGTTTAGAAAATCAACAAAAAATACAATGACTGATGACTCCATGTTTTGTTTGTGTCCACAGCAGACGACAAGATTTGCTATATTTTGTTGCACAATGTTGAGGTGGTCGAGCGCCATGTTTATTGACTGATTTGCATGACTGGTTTACAGGATTACGTCATTATAACTATGCATATAATTATGTATATCATAACATCCTCCTTCCTTTTTTAAGGTTCTTGATAATTTGACAAGTCCAACAAAAATATGAATAACTAAACAATGTAACAAGGATATAAATGTCTGAAATAAAGTTCAACAATCAAGTTTTTTTGGTGGTTTGCTAATGCGTCCTGATCGGGTAATAGTGGCTCCAGGTGGAACATCTTGAGTAGATACAATGGGCTTGGCATCTGGTGTTGGTTCTTGTGTATCATCTGTCGGTGGTTCCTTCTTTGTAAAGACTTCTCCTGTAGTGTTTATGTGCCTTCTGTTACGGCGATAAGTTGCTCCATTGCTGGCTTCCACTTCATAAGATCTTGGCTCTAATAGCTTTTGTGTGACAATAGCTGGGTCCCATAGTTTGGTAGTAGGGTTTTGTATGCGAACACTTTGGCCAATTTCAAGGTCTGGCTTGTCATGTGCTTTGCTGTTGTATTGTTGGATATGGCGTTGCCTGTGTTGAGTGAGAACTTCAGATGAGTTGTCATGAGTAGAAGATTTTAATAGAAGTCCATCATCAATTTTGCGTTGAAACATGAGTTGTGCTGGCGAAGGTAGATTGGAGGCAATTGGAGTGTTACGAACAGCTAGGAGTGCCATCGCTGGGTCTTCTTTTGTTTCATTACATTTTTGTAGAGTGTTCTTTACAGTGGCAACAAAACGTTCAACTTTGCCATTTGCTTGGTGATAGTGCGGACTGCTTGTTGAATGTTCAAATCC